ATACGATATCGAACGTTTTTTTTTTTTTTGGGATATTTTTAGATCGCCCAGCGACGTCGATACCTTGGGAAGGGCGAGCGTGTTGCGCGATGGCACTGCCTTCCGGCCCGCATCAGCGCCACATCCGCTTCTGGAGAACCACTTTTACCAGCCGTTCATCTACCCTTCAGAAACGCCCGCACATCCTCACACCGCACCGCACACACCGACAGAATTGGAACAGGAATTAGAACGAGCGAGGTCCGAGGAACGTAGCAATTGCGATCTCAAGGAAAGCGTAGCCGAAGGTCAGCCATTTTTCAAATAATAATTCGTCTTTCTATAGCTATTTTCACGTGCGCCGTAACACGCTTTTCTTTCGATCATTCCGTTTCGCTTTGTAAATGCAGAACGTGACAAATCGAAAACAGTGCTGAAGTATTGTAAAAATTATTTTATTAATCGATTGCACGTGGATTGCAGCGTGATCATCCTCCAATGTAAATTTCAACAAATTGATCGCTGTCTTTTGTCGGCGTAGATCTTCGAATAAAGCAAGAACCAGTGGCGATGACCGATCGGGAAAGGGCAGACAAATTGGCAGAAAGATTGTCAGGCGAAGTTTATTCCGGGGGGAGGGGATTCGATGGTGGCCATTACGGCTCAAACTCGAACCACATTCAACACGGAGCGCAAGTTGGCCATGCCATAGTGCCGCTGCCACCCGCTCATCCTCCAACTCCTGATCTCAGTCCCGCACCCACCACACCCGCTATGTGGAATACGAAACTTAACAAGGCTGGCACTGTCTCCACTCCCGATGGTAAGTCTGACCCGTTAATTTCTTCATCTTTCCACATAGTTAGACTAAATGTTCAATTAAACACGCGCGCGAGAAGATCGTCAACTTTCTTTGGTAAAAAATTTTCTGTTTGATAATACGATATATATTATCGCAAACAAGAGAAGCTCAATTTAAATACTACAATCGTCTCGTGTTATTATCACGTGGATGAATCGTATTGGAATTTCTGAATGACTCCACGTTGGTATGCCGAGGATTAACGAAGTCGAGACCATCTATCTGGGCCAGTGCGTCGCCAGAAGGCAAGGCCTTTCAAATCTAATGTTACAAAATGCACGGTTGATCGTTGCACCATCGGTTGCACGTGGAGCTTTCTTGATGTTGCAACCTCGTGTCTCCAATACCCACACGCAGTTGCCTTCGTCTCTCGACGATTTGAACGACCGTAACTTTGTGTAACAAGGCGAAGAAAATGCAATCTCGAGGCATCCTTGAAATCAAATTTCTCTACGAGTTTCTACTGGAGGAAACTTTCACGCCGCACGCGAAGTACTATATCCTCGAGCATTTTAAAAATGGATGAATCAAAGATTTTTCAAACAGAGAAACGAAGATCATTTTCACTAACACACATCTCGAGCTAATTCATAAAGAAACCCGAGTCTTTATCTTTAATAATTTGCCAAACAACCCGCGGAGGAACTAAAAAGAGCCTTCAGAGCTCTGATGGAGATCCGCTCGATCGAACCATCTCGCCCCTGCCCCCTTCCCCAGGTCACTCGCTAGAAGGCTGAAAAATTATTTTCAGAAACTCGACAGTCGACTCGCTCTTAAATGTCACCGCGACGTCAGCGGTTGCTGTTGCTGCGATGTTGTATCGATGTCGGCCCTCGATAACACTGTCGTCCTCGAAAATTTCCCTCCCTCCCTCTCTCTCTCTATCTATCTCTCTCTCTCTCTCTCTCTCTTTCCTCGGGTCCAGTAGCTTGGCCAGCGATATTTTTTACCTCGGAGGTGGTTCTTCGTTGGACGGCGAGGTCTAACGCGCAAAAAGAGAGCAATGACAGGCGCCAACGACGACGAGAACCGCCGTTAGGCAGGATTTATCGTATGCTGATGGACGCCCAGCCGGCTGACGGAACATGTTCTACCTTAGAACCGGGACCGGTTGGCCTCTCTCGCCTTCACGGTGTGAACAAAGTGTACAAAGAGGATGCAGGCGACGGTGCAGCCACTGGGAACATCTTTTGCTCCGGCGAGCAAATCACCAGGCGTATGACGCCACGACACGATAGAGTCGTGTAGATCGTGTAGGGTGACTCGGAAACTCGCAACCCTACATACACACGCGCGCCCACACATACATACATACATATATATGTATACAGTCGCTACGATCGACGCCGGAGGTCCAGATCGTTCGATGTCGCGGATCATGCTTTAACCATTTTTAATCGCTGCTAGATGAGCGGCCAGTCGGCCGCGACGGTAAAGAAAGAAGCGAACCGTCAACTAATGCAACGGTTATTGACGTTGACCGTGCTCGAGCAAGCCAAG